TTTTTTGGCAGAACTGGGGATTGAACTCAGGCCCTTTTGCTTGCCAGGGAAGCTCTTATCCTACTGAGCCATCTCCCTGGCCCTCCACTCAGCATTTTGGAAGATTCTCCTGTAACACTTCTCCCTTCATGACTACTAGATTTGGGATGGTATTTATAAAGCTATATGTGCAGTGGGATGGAATCACACATGAAGGAGGGGATCTAGAAGCTTCTCTAACAGAGAGGCTTGAAATTTTCACCATTCAATCCGTAGATGGAGAGGTGGTGGAGCTTCTACACATTTCTAAAGAAAATCTTGATTCAATCATGGCCCAATGCCCTGTGACCCAGCACCTTCAAGCAGTAGCTCCTGGCTCAGTGTTTTCATTCATGTCCTATTTTAGGGTCTTTTGTAGGACATCCCTACTGGCTATGTTTAACTTTAGAATCCAGTAGAAATCCAGTGCACCTCTTTGGTTCTTTGTTTACTCTATGACACCTGTCTTGACCAAAAATGGTCAAAGAAATGTCCCTTATGTCAATTATCTGCTATGTGGGCTGTTCACAACCTTGCTTTTAACCATTTCTGCCGCACACCCCTGCAGCAACGCTCAGGCTGTGACATTTCTAATTTTCCACTTTGTTGAAACTCAAACCAGCTCTGCAGTGTCCCTCCCTCCCCCACCTTTATTTAGCCTCATGCTGTTGCACCAAACACACCCTGGCTTTGCATGTTCCATTACTGGCTCTGAGGAAGCACACCTTGTTTAAACAGAGTGCCTCTAGTGAAGTGGACTCCTTCCATTTGGATATCTTCACCCCAGATGATTTGGATATAGTTTCTGACAAAAATGAGTCACCTTTCAGGATAAATGGGAACCTGAAAAATGAGGCCTGGGGGAGAAATACAGTCGTTTATGAAACAGGATGCTAAAGTGTAGGGTATTAAATTGTGCAAGGGTTGACGGTGAACTGCTGGTCTAGATTCTGTGTCCCTTGTCAGAAATTCATTTGAAAACTCAAGGAGGATCTTGTTTTACATGAAATCTTTGCTTAACTAGGAGCAAATGTCCTGCAAATGAGTATCAGAGATTGTTAGCCATACATGGAGACTGAGGCACTCTCTGTTGGCTCTCTTAAGTGGGATCGCTCCTGCTCATTTAAGGGTTTCCAGTCTGGAGTTTTGAAACAGTAAAAGTGAATGAAAGAAAGACAGGAGCATGTATACCACAGCGGGAGAGGGAGGAAAAAAGAGCATTGTAAAAAATAAGTCATAGAAGTTGCTGAAAACGTAATTTGATACAAAAAAAAAGACTAAGACAAAGCACACTCGGGCTGCATATGACATATATAAGACATGTGAATTTTATACCACTGCGTATGTGGAGTGTTGTGTTTTTTTCTTTTGAGAAAAATGCAGATTTTAGTCAACAACAGCACATAAGATTTTTGTCATTTAAGCAGCAGCTGAACACTGAGATGTTTTCTTTTCTGTTCTTCAAGTTTATTTTCTTTGGTCTTTTAAACTGGTTTTATAATTTGCATAATTTGGGCCAGGGAGATAGCTCAGTGGCGTAAGTGCCTACTTGGCAAGCATAAGGTCCTGAGTTCAATCCCCAGTACCCCCCAAAAAAAGTTTAATTTACATTATTTCTATTTTGCCTGGGCCTATGAATTTTTACTTTCCAAATTAATTAACATTAGCTAATAATCCTTTACTATACAAAAAAATATTAATAATAAGTCCTTAGATTGAAGAAAGTAGACATCTTCTATAAAAATATTCTGAAGGTGATTTAATGCCACCCACTAGAAATAGCTGCAGAAGTTGATTCCTCCTCTGTCTTTCTTCTCCATTTTATGAAGCCATGTTCTGTGCTTTCTTGGAAAGTTTCCAGGACAAACTTTCTTTCAGAATGTTATCACTTGATAGCAAATAATTTTTCTAAGACCCTGATGCCAGACACTTCAACCAGCCTCCATTCTGTTCCAGTCAGTTAGTCACGTAAAACGTTCTTCTCGAATGAAAAGTGGTGTCCTAAGCTCACTTCTCTTGGCACCCTAGACCCCCAGCCCACTCCTGCTTGTCTTAGTCTTCAAAAGAGTTTTTGAGTTAATGATTAGTGCTTCTCAGTACATCAATTAAAGATATTAATTGCAAGATGAGTCTCTTTTTCGATGAAATTTTTGAAAAGTATGTCATTTCTAAGCAGTGCTCTGCTACCCCTGTATCTCCATAACTTTAATTAAATGTCAAGGGCAATTATATTCTCTCTAGAAATTAAATAATCTTAAGTGTATATGACAGCTGGAAGCAATAGGTATTTGAAATATGCATAGCCCTTTTTCTAAAAGTAAATCGTATCATTTATTTTGTGTCATGTACATCAGATTCTAGTAATTCAGGTAAAATTTTCATTTCCTTTAACTCATATACTCATTTATAATTGCAATATCATAAAAGTGAATTATTCATTGATCAGCAAAAAGAAATTTAAAAATGTAGAGTGTAATAAGAGTCTAGGGCCTGGGAGATAGCTCAGTAGAACAAGCACCTGCCTGGTAAGTGCAAGGTCCTGAGTTCAATCCCTGGTACCACAAAAAAAAAAAAAAAAAAACACTTTCCTCTCACTGGGGCCAGGGCGATGGCTCAATAGAATAAACACTTCCTTGGCAAGGGCAAGGACCTGAGTTCAATCCCTGTTTCCGAAAAAAAAAAAAAAAAGTGTCTAGTTTTCTTTTCTGAAATATGAAATCCAGTAAGTGCATTGCCCAGTGTGCTATAGCTAAATAAAATTATCCAAAAACAAAATTAGTTAATAGCATGAAACTTAAGAATAAAGTAGAGTTTATGAACATGTACCAATATAATTAACACAATTAAAAGTATTCTAGTATTTATATCATTATCCTTTGTCTCCCTTAACTGTTTGTTGTTTTTTGTTTTGTTTTTTTCATTTTGAGAAACCCATAAGCCACATTTGGGTTCACAAAGTTGGAAATTTCAGCAGTAATTTTAACAACGCCAGTGTTGTTTTAAGCAAGCCATTAACAATCTATAAGTGACAGCTGGCCCCAAGAGGGAGAAACAAAAGTTTTGCAAACCTTTACATAAATTGTCTTGTAAGTTAGTGCAATATCAGGTAGTATTTGCCCTCCTTCTTTCCCAATTTATAAGTTTCTATTATTTTAGGAAAAAATTAATTCATACTGTCAAGATGACAAAAACTGTTACTATAGACATCTCAGTTTGTAGATAGAGAATTTTTCATACAGAATTTATTTGTGTACTTTTTCTTATTTTCCACAGTCAAAATTTTATTTCTGACATTTAACCAAGGGAATCCTAAGTCTACCAGCCAAATGTTTACCGTCAATCCTAGAACAAATGTATCTACTCATTTTTGTCAATAATAACTGGACTATCTGTTTACTTATAACTTAATCTGCTTTAGAAAAACAAAAGGACCTCACATTTCAAGCCCAGAAGCCACAAGGGGCAGAAGGACCATCAGCTTTGTAAATAATTTGTAGAGTCAGTTTATGCTTCACTGCTCTAACATTACTGCTGAGGGTTTTCTTTGCAATACATTCTTTTTGTGACATTTTTATGCATTGTGGAGGCTGTATTTTGAAATATGAATTAAGTTAGAAGTAAAGACATCCCATTTAAGGTGTATAACGTTGAACCATAGGGGTGGGTGCTGGCCACAAAATATTTTTAAGAGTCCCCTCTAAAGATATGTGCTTCAGCCTGTGTAATAAGTTTTCAGATGTACTAATTTCATGTTGTTTCTGCGAAATCACCAGGGGGGAATTTTGACAGCTCTTTTGACGCAGAGAAGGGGGTCGGGACCATTGTCATTGCAAAGCCTTTGGATGCTGAGCAGAGGTCTGTCTATAACATGACTGTGGAAGTCACCGACGGGACAAATGTTGCTGTCACTCAGGTGAGAACTTACTAGATGTCAGGATGAAGGAAGTTCTGCTAAAATCAGGATTTCAGGCAATGAAAACAATGTCTAGTAAGTAGTAAATAATGCGCACAAACTTATAGTGTTCAAGAAGATCGTTTTAAAGAGTAACATAAAACAAGGGTTCTTCCATGGTATTTATGACTTAGCTGCCTCTTTCAAGATGCTGTGATTGTGCATGGAAGAATGATACACATTTGTTCCTTTTTTTCTAATGTATTTGGTACAGGGTCTCACTATACAGCTTGGACTCATAGTGATCCTCCTGTTTTCAGCCTCTCCAGTGCTGGGATGACAATCATGCGCCACCATGTCCAGTCTTTGTGGCCAGCTCAGCACACCCAGGGACAGGGCCAGTGCAGCATGTGGTGCCAGGGATCAAACCCCAGGCCCTGTGCTTGCCTAAGCAGCACATTTGTTTCTTACTCCTTGCTGTAGATTTGTCTCTGACAACTTTTCTTGAGTTTTCCAACAGAAAGATATCTATGTTGTCTTCATGACACTCTGTGAGATTCTTCACCTCCTCATTTTTTAATCAATGAAAGTTAAAACTAGAAAATATTGACAGTCTGACTGCATTTCACAGTAAATGTGGAAGTTCTCCACCATCTAAAGTCATACAGCCTTAACAAAGAACAAACCCAGGGACATAGGAACCCTGTTCTCACGTTCTAGCTTCTGTGCGACCGCTCTCTGTGTTGGTGGTCCAGTGGATGCAGGGTACTGATGTGTTGACCCCACTGCTAGGGAGCTTCCTGATGCTAACCTGTAGCTTGGCTCAGGGACCTTTTCTTACATTGGTTTCTTGAATGCATATGGAAGGGCGTTCAGAACAGAAGGGACGGAAAGCTTCTGGCCATCTTCAACTGCTTAGTTCATTTCCCTAAGCAAGAATCAATATGAGATGGATTTGCCTTGACTCTACTTGACTCTAAGATGTTCCATTTTTATCAGAGACTTCCATAGCCCAGCACTGGCAAAGACTGGCGCGTGTGTGTGTGTGTGTATGTGTGTGTGTGTGTGTGTGTGTGTGTGTGTGTTGCGCTTTTCTCTTCTGCTTGCTTTTCTCTCATGTCTCTGTGATCCCAGGAGGCACCACTGATTGATCAAGCTCTTTGCCTTTTTGTCCCTAGCAGTACCCTCAGAGTCTTTCTCAGCACATTGCTCCAGGTAGTGAGCAGGATTTTTTGTCAACCTGTAAGAAAGCAAGCACTGATTTATTTTAAATATCACATGAGCTTTTAGAACTAATCACTTTTACAAAGGAGTGAAGGAGAGTATTTCATGAGCTTTTTTAGCCAATAGCTTCTTAGCTTAAAGCTGTTTTAAAAATCTTTGACTTTTTCCTTTAAGTCTATTTGCAATTACAGAATGGGGAAGACTTAAAGGAAACAATTGGATTCATTTTGGTGCAGCCCCTTTACTTTTTCTTTTAATGTATCCCAGAAGGAAAGTGACTTAGGCAACCAATATGTCATATTTCGTGATCCTCCAGCCCGTATCCCTTTCTGGCAACCAGGATGACCATGTGACCCTATTTGCTTTAAAGAGTCCCATTTCTACCTGTTGCACTGGTATAATTATTAATATTACTCATTTACTCTCAAAATTACCCCTATTGGAACAATAAATTATATGATCTTCTTACATAAAACCATACTGCTTAGGGCATTTTCAAGATTAATAACTGTACACATGGAAAGGACGCTATGACTGAGATCCCAAGGGACCTGCACTGTCTAAAAGTATACTCTGAAGACTAGTATAACACAAACCACCTGCAGTATGTCTTCAGTGCTAATTCACTATAATGTGAATTTAAATTAGATTTTTAAATTAGCCACTTCGTAGTGTATCCAGCCTCTACTGTTTAATTCTACTTAAAAACTCAAAGCATATTTGAGCAAAACATAAGTAAGGCATAGAATCATACTCATTTCTAGATTTTTCTCTGGGATCTTATACCTATTCAATTAATGGTACTCAATATGCCCAAAATGTTATGGATACTTGTTAAATATTTTTGGAATGAATATTGGATATGACACATTCAGCAGTTCTTAGAATGTTGGATCTCCAAAACACACAACTGATTAATGTTGGCCAAAGGAAGAAAGGATGGGAGGGAGGAAGGGGGAAAAGAAAGAAAGAAAAAAGGAAGAAAGAAAGAAAAAGGAAGGAAGGAGGGAGGGAAGGAAGGAAGGAGGGAGGGAGGGAGGGAGGGAGGGAGGAAAGAAGGAAGGAGGAAGGGAGGGAGGGAGGGAGGGAGGGAAGGAAGGAAGGAAGGAAGGAAGGAAGGAAGGAAGGAAGGAAGGAGAAAAAACGGAAAGAAAAGAAAACTAATTTATTTTAGAGTTTCATTCAACCCAGATAAAAATCCATTTAACACCATTTATTCCACGAACATTTTTAAAGTTTGCACTATGGGCTAGGAGTTGTAGTAGGTGGGTACAGAAATGCAGGATTTTGTAGGAATTTTTTTCATGTCGTTTTGGTTTTAGTTTTGGTTTTTTTAGTTTTGAATTTAGTTTTGCTTGTTTGATTTTTGAAACAAATTCTCACTGTATTGTCCAGACAGGTCTTGAACTCTGCTTAAGAGTTCCTCCTGCCCTATGCTTCTGCATAGCAAGGACCATAGGCATTTGCTACTGTGCCCAGCAAGTGATACCAAGTTTTATATATGGATGGTTGATATGCCTTATTTAAAAAATTAATATGCAAACATATATTATAAGACTTTGAATAGACACATTGTTGAGTCCTGTGTTTGTTGATTAGATTTAGGTTACTATCTAGAATAATTCAAGAGTTCAAGAATTCGCTGCGCTTAAAAGAAGTCCTCTTTCAAGGGGTCTGTCTTAGCTACTTCTCTCATGTTCCAAGACAAAATACCTGACACCCAAAGTTAAGAAAGAAAAGCTTTATTTGGCTCATAATTTGTAAAGGTTTCAGTCTGCGGTCAGCTGCCTCTAGGGCGCAGGGTGGCACATGGCAAAGAGGCATCATGGGAACAGTTCCTGGGTCCCACAAGATAGCAAAAGCTACAAGAGGATGGAGACAAGACTCTTTCTATTCCTCATAGTGTATGCAGGCTACCCACCTTAGGGTGGGCATAGCACTCACGCCCTTGGTCCTAGCCAGAGCTATGCCAAACCCCTCCGTGCACTGACCTGCTAGCCATGCAGCCTTGATCCCAGCATCACATGCTGTAGATCCAGCCACCCCTGGGAAGGCCCCTCCACCACGGCTGCTTGAGGCTTTGGGGGACATCTAGACACAAAGCCCAGCAGAGTCAGACTACAGAGTCAGTAGAGAGTGTCAGGAGATTGCCTCGCAACTTCCTCTAATCACTCTAGAGGTTCCAGAGTAGATTCCTTCTTCTGAAGTAAGGACTAATTAGTTCCTAAAGTATAAATTGTGTAACAATATTACATTATTACCACCCAAAAACCATCACTCCATGGAATCGACCTATGTTAGACCCGAGCATCCCACTAACCTCTTCCAAGTTAGGTCTCTCTCACATTTACCAAAGCCTCCTTGGCGGTGCTGACAAGAAGGATTTTCTGAATTAGTCAACATTGCTAGTGTCAGGGACATTTTAACAAAGGGATGCTTGGGGAATGAAAGGCCTTCTAGGTTTCTTTTAGAAACCACTTAGGCATGTTCCAATCTGTGACCTTAGGCGACTTAATGATTTCACCATCAAACACATATCCCCTTCCATATGACTAAATAAATGTCCTGGAGCCCAAAGACACCTGCTCAGTATTCCTCAGAGAACTTTTCTCTCCTTTGTTCATTTAGGATCATAAAACATGGTATGACTCTGGCTTCAAATCAGCCATAAATAACATGTTGAATTTTACCCCACAAATGTCAAATAAATCAGAGCCTCGGGGATTCAGCGTCTACAGGGAAACCAGCCCTTCATCTTCATTTTGTTCTATTCTCCCAGCTCTCCTAGGATTCTTGGGCCTCAGAGCTACAAAACCTGATGATGAATAAACATCCTTTTTCTTTGCTGAGGTTGCTTAGTTGAGCACAGAATATAAGAAGGGAATTTAAAGTTGCAAAGATTTCATAGGGAGTGAACGAAAGAACAGAGACTCCCAATATGTACCAAAACCTCATGGCGAGATGGGCAGAGGGCTCCGCACAAAAACGTGTTTACTTTGTGTGGGATGCTATTGTACATTTTCTAACATAGCGTAGTACCAAATTGGTCCCCAGGTTGATGTCTCTGATTCAGAGGTGAGCAAGGTCACCTGGCTTGGCAGGGAAGGATGCGAGCAAGGTGACGCTGTCTGTGCTGGAGCTGGAGACAGGATAAGAAGCAATGAGGCACATTGACTATTCTGACTTCTAGAAAACATCCAGGCAGAGCTTGGGGCTCTGCAGGAAGGATGGAGTTCCAAGAGGGACGAGTTTACCTAATCTCCAAACACAACTGAGCACTCCAAAGTTGCTTTAGGGGGATTCCATGCCTCATTTTCAGACTATGATTTTTATATATAATTTAGTGTATTGAAGAACCAGGATTCCTTGTAGAAGTAATTAATTCCAGGCTCAGGGCAGGGGCCTGGGCATCTTATCATACTACAGAGAACTAGTGGAATCATGTTACAAGGTGATAAGAGGCCATTTGGGACAAATGGGACGATATGGGACAAGATGGAGAGGGTCTTTAATTTAGTTACTTTGTGAGTCAGGCACTATTTGTCGTTGGTCTTCCTCTATCTCCGGGAGGTGTCCACACTCTAATCTGAGATTGTCATGTTATGCTATGTGTCAAAAGGAACACTGGAGATAAAATTATAGTTACAGATATTAAGGCAGAAAATGGGTCCTGCACTACCCAGGTTCCAGGTAGGCACAATGTAATCACACAAGCCCTGAAGCAGTTACTTTTCTCTAGCTAGAGTCAGAAGAAAGGAAACAAAAGGTAAAGTCAGAGACTCTCAGTATGAGACGGA